ATCGTCGACAGTATTTAATCTTGTGATGTGTGTAAAAGAAAAAATACGTGGCTAAAGTTTTAAATTAATGTACCAGACGGACATTAAAATAAAATTTAGGAAACTACCCTATTGTAGGCAGAGGTGAAATGAATCTACAATGCAACACCGACCTTTTACTAGTCATTTTATAAATCCCTTTGCTGTTCCTTACCGAGCACAAATTTAAACCCGAGAATTGATTTCGAGACCCCCATGATGCTTGGCTGCCACTTTTTGACCACTCCACTTAGAGGTAATCTTTTCACAAGTATCAGTTTAACTATATTGTTTTCTTTATAATCAAAAAACGACAAAAGACAAGCTCCCATCATTTGTAAGACGTGATTTCTACACGAAGTTACTGTTCTCCAAGCGATGAGGTAACAAGTTGGACGACACATGTATATCGATAGCAATCAGGAACAATCATTTCGACGGTCACTGGTTACTGCGACAGCAGGCCGTGACATAGACATTTTGTAACACAGAAGGTCCACTGATGTAAAATGTTATATAAAAGTTTAACAATTGATTTTTAATTGTCGTTGAATTTAAATATATGAAGGTATATAAATTAGAAATTCTCCGAATATTCGGTTAATATCCGGTTTCCGGCTTATCCGGCCGTTATTTACTATCCGGAAGGATACCGGATGGTAATGAACTATCCGGCCGGATACCGGAATGTAAACTTGTAGGTTTTATAAATGAAATCTAAATAAAGACACAGTTGTAATTGAATCTTTTTATTATTTTAAATAATTTTAACTTTTTTATAATACAAAAGCTGCACGGCGACCGGCGCGGTGCTACGCGACACGCACGTACGAAACTTAAAATGTAGGTATCACATTGCCGACCGAATATTCGGCGGCCGGATACTGAAAATTCGGCAGGTGGTCAAGCCAAATATCCGAATCGAATATAAGTATCGCCGATGTAGTTAATGGACGGAACAACACTTTTAATTCACAAATAGTTATTCCGTTCTATGTAAGATGTGCATGTGAATTTGTATACGCTTTAATGTACTTATTAACGTATTTTTGGTCATCAGATAGCGTAGGAAGAGATTTTTAGTCCAATCACAACAGTTGTCAAATATTGATCCGTCCAATGAGGTGACACTAGCTAATTCCCTATTGGACGAGAAACGAGATGGTCGCCTAATTCGATATGTGCGAGATGTTCGCTCTAGCGCCTGATTGTTGAATCACGTTTTTTTAATTATAATTATATGGCAAAACTGTAATTGTACTGTAACATGTTTAACACATAATCAAGTATTATGTTTCCTCGGCTTACTCACGTAACTGTTCGACGAGGAACATGATAATTAATTTAGTATGTCTCACGATAGTTTTAACATAATAAATCATTTCTAATTTTAAAAAAGTTAATATTTCTTTTAAGTATTATTTCTTTTTCAAATATCAGTTTTATTTGTGTGAACCTTCTGTCTTTATGTTACAGGTGAGCGAGCAATCGAGGCGAGCATGGTCTTTGATTGGAGGATAGTTTACCTCGCCTGATTGAGGCAAACGTTCACTCTAGAGGGAATGTTTTACAAATTGTTCCTTTAAAATGTGCTGTACTGCTGTTTTTTTTTTTTAAGGGGGGAAAATCATCGAATGACTGCTCCCGCCTGGGTGAGGCGGAAGGGAGTGTCAGACTCTTACTGACTAAAAACCACCCCGTTCCTTCTCCTGCACGTCGAGCCGGAGCCCCGGTTACCCGTTAGGTTCTCCGCGACTCCGAATCGGCATCGGCCCTATTGGGCCCCATCTGTGGTGGTCTGATGACTCTTTGAGGCGCGCGCGGAACGCTACGCGCCGTACGCTCGGGTCTGTTTCTGGTCGGACGGGGACGAGCTGTACTGCTGTTTGGATAATTTATGTACTCAACATTGGATACATAATTATGATTTTCTTTTATACAATAAACCAATAAACGAGCAGACGGATCACCTGATGGTAAGCAATCGGCGCCGCCCATGGACACCCGAAACACCATGTAACAAATGAGTTACCGGCCTTTTAAAAAAGGAATACTCTCTTTTCTTGAAGGTTTGAAGGTCGTATCGGTTCGGAAATATTTATCAATATATGCGCACCATCGCTTACCATTAGGTGGTCTGCTCGTTAGCCTCCTATTCCATAAACAATCCATCTCTGATCAAAATCATAGTCATTATTTCGCAATATGTAAAGAGATTATGTTAGAATCATGGAATTCCCGAAGGGTATACCTGAGTGTCTTCAAGGCCCGAGTAAATAGGTTGTTTATTGGGACGACGTGCTCCATCGTAGACCGCTTCATCGCTTACCACCAGGCGAGATAGTGGTCAAACGTTGGCCCATTAAATATAAAAAAGTAGAAGTTAATGTAATAAAGGAGTTTTCATTATTAACGTGTTTATGAGATGTTATCTGCGTTAATGTAGAAGTAGAAGTGGCAAAAACAGATACAAAAATGTAAGATTCTCAACGTTAACACATTTTAGAACAAACATATGAGCAGTAGAAAACTGAATTCAAACCACGCCATTACTACGAAGCTACAGAGAGAACTTAAAACTACTTAAAACATTATGAATAATGAAACATTAGTTTACCTTTCTCATAGTCATAACTACATAACGCTAACCACATAGACCCACAAACACTTAATTATATCGCTTCTTCGGACCATAATGGACCCAAAACTACAAAGCCAAACGCTACACTGAACAAAAGAGGGAAAAACATAAACTTTAACATTTGTATGTAGTGACTAGTGACCCACAAAATTATGCTTGTTTAGTAAGCAAACCCACGGTATAATATAACTCGATATAACGCTATTTATATTTAAGAGCAGTGCATACATAAACGATACTTAACACATTTCTTTTCTAGTTGTTATGAGTTTTTATATTATGGCAGGTCTATTGTCTTTATAATAACTATCGTGAGACATACTAAGTTATTAACTAAAAGTCATGGGTTACTCTCGTGAATATACTGAGAAAATCTCTACTAGTTTCGAATCACAGAGGGGTTCATCCTCGCGGCGATGTCGCGCAGCCTACTACAGAGTACCCTACTCTGTATATCCGATGTCTGTCTATTGTCAATATTTAGACTCTATTTCGGAATCTGTAGTCATAATTTTTAACTCTAATCAGTCAATTATTTCAACCGCGTGTGTCGCACATGATTATGAGCTCCCAGCGTCGCTTGAAACTAGTCAAGTCAAGCAGTCAGGTAGTTTACTACTACGTCCATAATTAAATTAAATTACATATTGATGCAATTGATAGCTGATACGTGAATTACATAATACTTAAAACGTTTATAACATATTACATGGGACTCATAACATAAATAGTGAAAAGCGGGTGTTACATTGTATAGTGGCATAACGCACACCTCTGCCTACCCCTTCGGGGATAAAAGGCGTGATGTTATGTTATCATGTTTAAAACATATATTTTATGCTTGTCATATATATTTCTAGATATCACAACATGTTTATATCAAGATTTGTATGAAGCGGACTCGTGTCATGTAGCTTTATAATATCTATTTCTGCCTACCCTGGCTTATAACAATAAGTAACTTAAAGACTTACTAAGACTACCGGCTTACAACACACTACATACAACACGACTTTCAAAGCACAGTTGACGCAGTGGCTGAGCAACTGGCTGCAGTGCAACATGTAGCGGGTTTGATTCCCGCACGCAACAACTCTTTGTGTGATCCACAAATTATTGTTTCAGGTGTGGGTGTCATATATGTAGTTGTGACATTGTATGTTTGTAAACGCACCCACGACTCAGGAGAAAATCCTAGAGTGGGGCAACGTTTTATAAAAAAAAATACTTTGTCTTACTCAGGAACTGATTCTAAGATGCCATGACGCCTTGCTTAGCAGTCGGATTACCAAATCCTAAACCAACGAAGCTTGCCTTTTAACCTAATAGAAGTACATAAATTCTTCACATATCATGTGTTATGAGTCATTTCAAATTTACGCCCCAACTTATAGTTATGGGGTCACTGGATATGGAGCTTTTATGGTGCCACTTCGAAAGTATAATCATAGTGGACATGGGAGCGTTTGATAAGTCCATGGTCTTAATAGTAATCGTACTTTGTATTCAGGATAATACTTAATAGTGTGTGTATGTGTGTATGTTTGTTATTCTTTCATGCAAATACTACTGAGCTGATTCAGATGAAATGTAGCACAGATATAGATTATAGTCCGGTATCATAAATGGGACAAGCCCGCCACAACCTCCTAAAACCGCTGCAACTCCTGTAAGCCAGGATCTACAGTAGATACAACCATGAAAACACCGGAACACTGAAGTCCGTCGCATCCCAGGGACATGAATAACTGTCTTGGTTCCCGCAACGAAGTGAATCAGAAGATATTATAAGAAGAAAAAAAAACTATAGTTTCCACTTTCCTCGGTGAATTACTGCAGGAGACAGATAGAATTAAGCCTAAAGGCACAAAAAAGAGTACAAAATACATAGGGTAGTTTTATCTCCAAGAAATGGACAGTTTCCGTAGAATATCCTTATGTATTTTGTTAGCATCTAGGATCCCAGACTTTGTGTATAACTTTGTGTATAACTTTGTGTATAATAACTCAAAAATACTTACTCGACTCAAAAATCATTACCCTACGACATTAATATTTTTATTCCAACAGCAAGTAGTACTTGAATATATAGTATCGCATATCGAATCGAAGGGAATCGATTTTTTACTCGATTTCATCAACGGAAGTAGTGTGGTATCACATACTTCAAATGTTTACGACCACTAATATAGGAGGCAGTACTTGCACTTCCCTCAGCCTCGCTTCAATATCAGACATAAAATGTACGCAAGAACAAGTTATGTATGTCATATCTAGCATAAGTATAATGTTATGATCTAAAACAGTATGTTGTAATAGAAATTCTAAATGTGGGAGAGCTATGCTTCGGCACGAATGGGCCGGCTCGACCGGAATGATATCACAGTCTCACAAAAAACCGACGTGAAATAACGCTTGCGTTGTGTTTCGTCGTGTGAGTGAGGTTACCGGAGGCCCAATTACCCCCCCTCCCTAGTCTCCCCAATCCCCGAATTCCCAACAATCCTCAAACTCCTAATCCCCAAAAGGCCGATAACGCACTTGTAACGCTTCTGGTGTTCCAGGTGTCCATGTGCGACGCCGATTGCTTACCATCACGACTAGATCTACGATCTAGTTTCCTCTATTTCCCTTGTTATACCTATATATGGTGACATACATAGTTCCGAATCATACGCAGTATACTCATTAAAAATATACAGTTTTAGCCCGAGCGTACGGCGCGTCGCGTTCCGCGCGTGCCTCAAGAGCCATCAGACCACCACGGATGGGGCCCAATAGGACTGATGCCGATTCGGAGTCGTGGAGAACCTAACGGGTAACCGGGGCTCCGGCTCGACGTGCAGGAGAAGGAACGAGGAAGTTTTTAGTCAGTAAGAGTCTGGCACTCCCTATCGCCTCACCCAGGCGGGAGCAGTCAATCGATAATTTTCGCCCCTTAAAAAAATACCAGTTTCAGAAAGTATTACACATAATTGTGATAATGATGTGTATTGGAACTTAGTGTTATATATTAGGAGGATGCCCCCCCCCCCCTTTTTGCTGAGCAAGCTAATATGCAATCACTGAATCTTACATGAACATCACAAAAAAATAATAAGAAAGTAGCATCCCTAATATGAAACCAATAGGGCTCCTTCATACATCATACTTGTTGACCCCAAATCGTACTAAACAGAGTTATAATAAACTCAATTCAAAATATTGGTCCAAATAATAGAGGGTTCCTATATCCGACACGATTACGCGTTGCCATGACAACGAAAACAGCTAGCCTTATTATTTATCGTGTTTGAGAAGGCATCCCCTCTCAATAAGATTTATTGGGTGAATGCAGTGAATTTGTTTCAAAGAAATTTGTGTTTCCAACTTGATATAAATAGCTATAGAACCGGGACTAGATAATGGTTCATGCTTCTGCATAAAAAAATGTTTAATGATCACGGCAGGAATTCATAGTATTGAATCTTATAAAAGAACCGTTCGTTTTTAGTTCCATCACTCAGTATTTACACAGAAAGAGAGAGAGAGAGAGAGAAAAACGCAATGTAACAGGAAAACTATTACTTTCAGTTGTGTGTGCACAAATACATACATATAGAAGGTACACATTGACAATAAAAACATGTCACGAAAGTATAGGCAAACGTTATGTGACGTGATCATCACATTCTATTTTCAAAAATATTAGGAGTCTATTTATTTTTTTCATTGAAAACTCAACAGCTTATTTAGTACATATAAAAATAATAAGACATAGAATCCTTAAGCCAATTACAGAGGTTTTCAGCATGCTTTAAGAAAAAACAGGACTCAACAACATAAATTAAAAATAAAAGATATATTTAGGAATATTTTTATAACCAACTATAGTTAGTCCCAGACTACAAAGAAACTACATTAACTATTATTTTTTCTGTATATATAAAACAATTAAATATATTTTTATTCTTTTATCGGCTTAATAGATCTTTGGACTAATCCGCCGTCCATTTTCCCGGCACTCCGTGCATTTTCCATATTCCAAAGAATTAAGGATAGCTTAACATTAATTCCAATTTACATTTACATCAACCACGAACCGTTACCCATGAATTTTGTATTCTGCTAATAATTTTGTGACCTTTCAGATAGATTTTCATACATTTTGTACCCATTTCCATTGATTTTATGAAACTTTTGACTTCAATTTGTTATATTTATGTTCTCATAATTGAACAGATAATAAACGAACACTACTAGATATAATTAAACTAATGTTTCTAGTTATAACTAGTCATGACTGCCTCGTTGGCCCAGTGGTCGCAAGTGCCGACTGCTGGAGAAGGAATCTCTGGTTCAATTCCCGGGTCTGGCAAAATATTATCGAGGTTTTTCATACAATGTCAGTTGTAGCACTGAGTCTAGAAAAGTCCTCGGTATATGGACTACATGGGACTCTAACATAAATAGTGAAAAGTGGGTGTTACATTGTACAGTGGCATTATGTGCCGTCTGTGTGCACCTCTGTCTACCCTTTCGAGGATAAAAGGCATGATGTTATATTATATCAACTTACAAAAATTAAAAAACTGAAGTATCTGAAATCACTTTGCCTGAGTATCACTTCTGACTTTATACTCAACAATCGCTTTGACCAACATTTCAGATTTATTCAAGGACCCATCAAAAATATTATCAAAGGTACCACGTGCCGTATGCCAATTTCTCTTTGAGATACAAAACTTTGAAATTAAAAGGCGAACTTCTTCGCGAAGTTTTTTCATTTTACATTTTTTTTTAATTAAGCTACTCATTTTGGTAGTATGTATAATAAAATTGCTTATTATATTATATTATATTAAACATTTTCTTCAAATCGAAATACATTTTACTTGTTTGTTTTTATTTAGTCTCCTGTGCCTTCAGGATATTTTATGTTCATTACACTGAAAATTAGGCAGTTGTGTAATAAATAGGAAAAAATGATTGTAGTAATCTAGACTTCATTTCTTATTTAGAACGTTGTCCCACACTAGGATTTTCTCCTGAGTCGTGCGTTTGCAAACATACAAGTTCAGATACACATGACACCCAGACCTGAAACAACAATTTGTGAATCACACAAAGATTTGCACCGTGCGGGAATTGAACCCGCTACACGTTGCGCGGCAACCGGTTTCCATGCCACCGCGCCAACCGTGCAGTCGAAGTTTAGTTTGATGGTACCTTAAAATACGATATGATATAATACCTTGTTTTAAATTCTAAATTGACGTAAAAATTAGGTAGCACAACATATAAAACACATTCAAACATAAACCAATCATTGTTTCAAAATTATTTGACCACTTCTAACACTAACCCTTTACGGAACTACCTCTACACAGTTAACAGAATTGGACCACTATAGGGAACGTTTGTACCCATCATAAATCCTTCGCTATAAAACGCTAAAGGGTTGATGGTGGTCGTGAAACGTTACATTTTATTCGTATCTATACTAATGTTACTGAAAATGTGTGTTTGTCTGTATATATTTCAATACTGCGTGATAGTTAAGAGCAAGTTTCTAATGAATGTATGATAGGTAAATGAGGTTGTTTTCATAGACGAATAATGCTTGCGTTGTGTTTCGTTGTGTGAGTGAGGTCCCTCCCCAGTCTCCCTAATCCCCGAATTCCCCACAATCCTCAAATTCCCAATACCCATAAAGGCCGGTAACGCACTTGTCACGCCTCTGGTGTTTCAGGTGACCATGGCCGACACCGATTGCTTACCATCAGGTGATTAGTCTGCTCTTTTATTCGTTTATCTCATAAAAAAATATAAACCATCTTTAAATGGAATCATAGATGGCGCCTGTGCAGTTTTTGATCTCACTACTGTTTTGTTTCTTGACACATATGTAGATAATACTCATATTAATTTCTCGTTCGCATTGCAAATGAAGCCACGTGAACAGTTAGTTTACACGATAAAGGTTAGTAGCGCTTGAAATTGCCTGCAAAACTATTGGCGAAGTTATCAACAGGTGGTGTACTATAAAGTCTATAAAGGAGCTTGTAAAACTACACTGTGTTTGTTGTTTATACTATGTTTACTTGAATATATAATAATATATTGAGAGAGGGACTTGTAAAATATGTGACGAAGAACTTTTTTTATGGCTTAAGCCGGTAAACGAGCAGACGGATGACCTGATCGTAAGCAATCGGCGTCGTCCATGGACAACTGGAACGCCAGAGGCGTTACAAGTACGTTACCGGCCTTTTGGGAATTAGGAGTTTGAGGATCGTTGGGGATTCAGGAATTAGGGAGATTGGGGAAGGGGAGGGTAATTGGGCCTCCGGTAACCTCACTCACACGACGAAACACAACGCAAGCGTTGCTTCACGCCGGTTTTCTGTGAGGCCGTGGTATCACTCCGGTCGAGCCGGCCCATTCGTGGCGAAGCAAGGCTCTCCCACACTTGAAGTAAAGAAGAAGAAGTGTGATCATGCCACGATCATTACGTGAATTTAATTTCGTCCAATAATTATAAAATTGAAGCGTGGAAATTACTCGAGAACACGTAAGTAGGACGCAATCTTAGATATTTACTATTTTATTCGTAGAATACTTATATATTTTATTGTAAGAATAGTATATTTTTAATGTATTTTAGAGTTTACTAAAATGATGAATAATAATAATAGATCTTTTATTGGCCCCTCATAGTAATCGACGGTTTCCAATATTTCAAGTAAAACAAGTGAAATTATTTCTGCAAATAGGCTACAAGGCTTAATTTTTTAAGCGGACGATGAGGTCGACATTTCCTTACTGACTACTCTGAGAAGAAATGCGAAAACAAATCAGAGGTCCGTTTCTTGTAAAGTCCAGACAATATGTATATAAAAGATTATGTGTGCGAACCGTAGCGTTTTGATATTTTCACCGACTGCTTCGTTGGCCGAGTGATCGCAAGTGCGACTGGCAAGGGGTCTCAGGTTTGATTCCCGGGTTAGGCAAAATATTACTGGGTTTAAAAAAAATTCTCAGTAGTAGCACGGAGTCTGGAATGGTACCCGGTATATGGCAATAGGCTCACACCCTATTACTCATAACAACATAACATCACGCCTTTTATCCTCGAAGGGGTAGGCAGAGGTGCACATTATACCACTGTACAATGTAACACCCACTTTTCACTATTTATGTTATGAGTCCCATGTAATAGGGGGTGAGCCTATTGCCATATACCGGGCACAGTTCCAGACTCCGTGCTACTACTGAGAATTTTTTTAAACCCAATAATATTTTGCCTGACCCGGAAATCAAACCCGAGACTCCTTGCCAGTCGTATACTCATAACATAAATAGTGAAAAGTGGGTGTTACATTGTACAGTGGCATAATGTGCACCTCTGCCTACCCCTTCGGGGATAAAAGGCGTGGTGTTATGTGATGGTATGTAATTTTGATATTTTCACTATTAGAATATGCTGTACCAATACCCCAATAGAACTTGAAATTATATAACACAAACTTCTCATACAATGAGAGGTCAGCGTATACTAGCACATAGTTTGATTTCCCATCATCCACATGACTGCACAAAGGATTATTCTAGCAACCACTGCTGTTCAATATATTGGTATATAGCCAATCTGCATTAATTAGGAAGATTGGTAATTATTCGCCTCGTGAATGACCTGTGGTGAGCAAACTATATTGCCTTAAGGTTCTTCTATTGTACATGATACCTGCATGGTACATATACGAGATGTGACCGGAACGCCTCCGAACAACGCCAAGAGGTGACAGTAAAAAACCAACTTTTATTTTCATAAAAATAAGGAAGTAAATGTTTCTTTTATCTAATAATAGTTATGATCAACTGCTCAAAGCTGATATTGCATTAATAACAGGAAAACAGAAAGAAATCTTTGTGTCAGCGTTTCGGGCGCGTCTGTTTACACCGTCAGTTTACGGTTTTGTATTTCGAAATAATGATAATGACAGGGTATGAAAATTGTAAATCTAATTAGTCCCTAAGTTATGTAATGAAAAAATATTAGACACGTACTTTTTTATTTCGTCGTATAATAAAATAATACTTCGATAAAACGAATCAAAGTTTAGGAGTGGGGACTAAAACGTCATTTCTACGTATAAAATTTACATAGAAGTGACGTCACGCAACATTTCAAATCAATATATCGTCAAAAGTACTCGTTTCTGTAAGAAAATAAAAAATACGTGTCTAATGATTTCAAATAATCTACCAGACGGACATTAAAATAAAAATTAGGAATCTACCCTATTTCAATATACTTGAATAAGTCGACCAGACCACATAGATACTTAAAAAATTCCGATATCGACTATTCGCAATAAATAAAATGCACAGCCTGTATATGATTTTTTTACAGCCTACAAATAGTTGTAACAGTACGAATATGTAGGCGAATTTTACTCATTGAACCCACTCACAATAGTATGAATTCCTATCCACGAAAAATCCATTGAACAGACGGATTTAATCAAACCGGAGGGTGCTGACATTTTTGTACATACATATACATATCTTTTATATGAATACCACATACAATTCTACCCTCGGGCATCCCATACGACATAGACTTTGAATTAAGAAATATTTTGAAATTCACAAGTTATCTAATGGTCATTACCTATAATATGTAACGAACTCGATTTCTACTAGTGTTAGGGTTCATTAATATTATGATTTAATTTAATTATTTTATTTGTATTTTTATTGTGTAATAGACTAAACTTCGTTGTGATTGACCATAAACAAACATATAAAAATAAAACGGACTTGGATTCTCGAAATGTCAACTGATGACATCGAGAACGCGGGTTTGAAAAAAATAGAACGGGCTTGAATTCTCGAAACGTCATTGGACGATTTCGAGACGGCGGTCGAAAAAGGCGGGAAAACGAATGGGATTTTGAACGGATGGCGGCATTCTGTTGGCGGGACTATTGACGAGAGGAGATGTAATATTTGTATCTTTGTTATAAATGTGCTTTGGAAGAAAATAATATTTTGTATTATCGATACCAAGTTGTTTCCTTAATAATCTCCGTTTCTGGCCTTCATATTCTGCAAGTTGTTGATGCTACAGTGGAGTTGCGTTTATACTAGTAACATTGATAGTTCTAGGTTCCTGTAGGAATTGATTGAGAAACAACTATGATCTACGAGTAAATATTATTGTTATATCACAATCAAAGTCTTATACGCCATTGGATTAAAAATAAGCTAGCAATTTCTTTTCTTTTAATAGCGATGCATATGGTTTATCTTTGTATTCTTCTGTTCTTCCAGCACTTAATCCGAAGTTCCGTAGATACAGCCTCATAGCCGACAAACAGAACAACTTTAACAGAATCGGTAGCACCCTTTGAGTACGGAGCCCTAAAAATGCTCTGAATAACTCAATTTTCACCGTCTTTGTTTGGTCCCCAGTATGAATTTATTGATTATATTAGAGTTCATTCACTTTGCCAAGAAGCCATAAATATTTATAGACAAACTCTAACAAACCACGCTGAAGAAGTTCGCTTGAACATCGACGTCGACTTTAAGGTAAAAATTCATTGAATTATGCTAATGCAAGGTATGACAGGTATCGAATAAATACAACAACAGAATGCAGAAGTGGAGCAGAAGTTCCATTCGTAATTTCGTACTAGAAGACTGTTCAAAAACCGACCCAGTGGCGGTGCCTGTCATTTTTTCCTTACAAAATGAATATTGTTCTTTTGAAGCTTGTGATTGATTGTGAAGACTGATAGAAAACTTAAACGTACAACTAACACTAAAATAAATGTTTGTAACATAACTTCACATGTTTTTGATGACAAAGTAGTGACAGTTTTTCATTTTTAAAAACCCGGCAACGCACACGTGAGTCCTCTGGGGTTACGGGCGTCCATGGGCGGCGCTAACCGCTTACCATCAGGTGATGCGTCTGCTCTTTTTCTTCATATTCCATAAAAAGTTGCTTTATTCATAAACTTCGTATTAATATTAGGTTTTTGATAACATAGGATTAACAATATTATATCGTTCTTTCTTTCTCTGTAGTTAATAATGACTACAGATCTAAAACAAGTATCACATCAATGTATCGAATGTAAAAATATATGGTATCTACCAGCTCCTCTGATATTTGCAATTTTGGCAAAACAGTGTTAAAGTTGATAGACTTTTGACTTTTTTTTAAGGGGGGAAAATCATCGAATGGCTTCTCCCGCCTAGGTGAGGCGAGAGGGAGTGTCAGACTCTTACTGACTAAAAACCACCCCGTTCCTTCTCCTGCACGCCGAGCCGGAGCCCCGGTTACCCGTTAGGTTCTCGGCGACTGCGAAATAGAATTTTGACTTGCGTTGCGATTTTCAGTACAATACTTGGACTTCTGCAGGTTACGTCTGAAATAACAAGACTTTTTTAAGAAAACCATTTTTTTCTTAAAATTTAAAAGTAACAAATTTCTTGCAACCAGGGGGATGGTCTGTTTCTCAGTCAGAGTCTAAGCATTGCCATACAACGTGACAATGCTGCCAGCCTTCTGGGTACTTTCGCTATTGACGTCGATGCGGACGAATCTTTTGATGCTCTCTTACTTATTAATTTTAATTTATAATTTTCTTTTACTTAATTGTTTTCATTAGTTTTAGTGTTTTTTTTTTAATTGATTTTGGCACCTTATAACACCAGGTATAAAATTGGTTTTGACAATTTCGGTATGCATATTGTTAGGTTATAGATGCAGAGTATAATATTAATGGCAACACTTGCTAAATAATGTTCGTAAACAAACTGCTTGCTAGATATTAATAAAATATTATTTATTAGATATTTTAATAACTTATTATTAAGGAGATTAGCGCGTTCAAACAAACAAACAAAAAACAAACTCTTCAGCTGTAAAATATTAGTATAGATAAGTAATTAAAAGTCGTTACGAGTCTTATTTCCTGACCCCTAATAATATGTTTACTAGTGGCGTAAAAGTTAAGACATAATAATATGTACGTACATATAATATTGTTTCTCTTTCCGCACCAACAAGTCCTAATTGGTTTCTACGAACCGAGAAGTTAATATAAGCCCTATTAATGCAAAATACATATTTTGTTTATAACTTTTAATTACAATACTTTCTCTGGTTGTTCAGATCATTCTGCTACATTAAGTTTAGTTGTTTAAATTTGGTTTGTGTACCTTTTATCGTGCTTATTCATAGAATTATGTATTACGTTATTTTTTTAAGTAGGTAATGAAAATCTAATGAAAACGCTTTATCCGTTAACATTTGCGCCTGTCGCAAAACTTCAATTTCTACATTGAGGTTTTTAAAAAGTAGTACATATACCTTTTTTTCTTAAATTGAAACAATATTTTATTTTTTAATACCATACTCACATTCCTTGCCTTCTGGCTGGCTGGCTACCAAAAAATATTATTTTCTTTTTTCTTGTATGCACATTCAATGACGCTTCCTTGTCCCGACTAAACATTTACATTGAAATTGATTAGATTACCATAAAAGAAAGTTTTTACTACTCCATTTTCTATATAAACAGTTCTCAAAAGAAATCGGATTCTATAGAAAATAATGTGTTTGCTTTCGATGACATTTTTCGAGTATTTTTTCCTTATTTGTTCTATATTCGCGTTAAATTGAATTTGTCGAAGTGATATGGAATGTGGATTATGAACACGACGTTATTGAATGACAAGAAAACACCTGGGTACTGATTTTATTATGATAATCAATTTCTTATAAATAGTCACGCAAATGTCAGTGGATCATGTTACTCGTAATGGTTTTTTTTTAGGATGGAATACCTACACTTAGTTTCTCGAAAAACCATGACATTTCAATCGAGTTGAGTTAATTACACTGCTGTTATAGGATGTTGAATAGGTAAAGGTATTTATTGTTAATCTACTTCGGTTTCAGTCTAAAAAACAGCCATTTAGGAGGAGTTTATATACATAATAAATATAAGAGGAGTTGATCCAATATCCAATAAATACTTGTTAATTATATCACAACCAAATATGATAAGAGGACTAAAATAATATATGTATTATTAATCAATAAACAAACAATAACTTCTGCCTCGTTGGCCGAGCGGTCGCTAGTGCGACTACCCGGGCAAGGGGTCTCTCTGGGGTGGGGTTTGATTCCGGGAAAAGTATTACTAGATTTAAAAAAAAATCTCAGTAGTAGCACGGAGTCTGGATTTGTGCCCGGTATATGGCAATAGGCTCACTATCTATTACATGGGACTCAAAACATAAATAGGAAAAGTGGGTGTTACATTGTACAGTGGTATAATGTGCACCTCTGCCTACCCTTCGGGGATAAAAGGCGTGATGCTATGTATGTATGTATGTACAATAACATTTTGTTTTCCTCTAGAAAATGGACAGAAAACTCCAACCCACGGAATTTCCGCCCGTCAATTTGTAAATTAAGTATATTTGACAATCCACCTTTTTATATAAGAAAACCTAACAAAATAGGAACTCATTAGACACATTTTAAACTATAATATAAAAATAAATTATCAACCAAACCCTATGTGAATAGACACGATGTCATGCCCATACTGATATCCACTAACAATTGGTTTACGGGTTATCATTGTATACAATATGACAATCACAACCTTAATGACGACCAAAATGTGGCTGTAGCAGCATTTACATACGAATGTGACAACATCGGAACTGCATTATGCAAATGAACTGCAGCTAATGTTAGTCAAGTTATGTTAAGTAACGGTATTGTTGTTATATAACATTAATTAAAACATTGCCATTAACAACTATCCCTGATAGTCCATTCCTGGACTATGTCTTCTACCAAACGAAGATTTACTTCGTTATTTATCCTAAGCTTTTAAACTGCTCGAGCGTACGGCGCGCCTCAATGAGCCATCAGACCGCCACAACTGGGGCCCGATAGATTGCTACTGCCGATACGGAACCGTGGAGGACTTATCGGGTTGCCAGGGCTCCGGCTCGAAGTGCAGGAGTAGGAACGGTGTGGTTTAGTCAGTAAGAGTCTGATACTCCCTCTCGCCTCACCCGGGCGGGAGAAGTCATTGGATCACTTTTTCCCCTCAAAAAAAAAGGTTTAAACTGCGATCTCTATCCCAAATGAGTGGGAGGAGTTGGAGATCGCCACTGCCACTGCGAACTATTGTGGCAACGCAATTGTGTTGTGGATATCTATGGGCGGCGCCGATTACTTCATCAGATGTTTAGGAAAGTAAGCGAAGAGAAGTGGGTGTTACATTGTACAGTGGCATAATGTGCACCTCTGCCTACCCCTTCTGGAATAAAAGGCGTTATGTCATGTTATTTTTCACAAATAATCACGCACTAGTAGACACATGTCGCAAGCTCGACACGGTTTTGCATCAACAGCATTCTAGCACATCTCTAGCTTCTCAGGCTATGCAAGATATTCCACGCATAATCAGTCACAGTCAGTCAAAGGCCTCATATACATGGACGCTTGGCTCTTGAAAATGTAGCCTTGCATAAAATTCTGATATTATATCGTAAGTGCAAAATGAAGTTTGAAACTTAGTACCTATATATTAAAGTATTGTTTAATTCACGATTAGGTGAATATTAACAAAATTAATATCTGACACGATTTGAAATGCCATATATTTATATATTTGCCTTGTGTATATTTGGGTATATAATGGAGCAAATAATAGTTATTTCTTTACCAATAAAAAACTTATTTTTAAAATAGCTGAGAGTATGAATTGTTACTTTTCTAGCACTTTCAACTTGCTGCGACGCCTGATTATATTATAATGGCAATTAGGCATATTATTGTGTTGCTATTTTAAAGGCGGTAGGCACCTTAACTCTAAAAATCAAAGTCTTTAATTTCGTAATATAAAAAAGTAAAGCTGCATACAACAGCTGGAATTAAATAAAATACACGTCTTAAACAGCAAACTAACATACATAAACTTTGTTGGAAACTTGGTCCAACTGACACCGTGTTCGCTCATTGGGTTGCCCACTTATTCGCAGCGGTTGAGTTTGCATTACCAATGAGGACAGCGTGTAGACATGTATGTTCCTAGTTCGGTATAGTCGTGGGTGTCGAAAGCTAGACTTAGTTGAGTCTGGAGTTGTTGTCAGAAAGTTATCGTCACACTACAGTACTTAGGCTGTCTACCAAGTACTAAGATAGTAACAGTTAGCAACTAAGAATACATACATAACAATTTACATAATAGGTATATTTAATACTAGCTTCTGCCCACGACTTCGTACGCGCAATCCCGTTTTCTCCCGTTGCCGTAAGATTTTCAGATTTTTTTTGTCTTAAGAACCTTATCCTAATAATAACAAATACAACAATAAAAGAATTAGTAAAATCGGTCCAGCCATTCACGCGTGATGCCGTGACCAAGGGAAAAAGGTATTCATTTATATATATACAGATACTACCTATATAATTATGTATACATATGTATGTATGTAACAGAAAATATTATATTATACTTACTTTTCACGAATAATTTCTGATATCAATGTATTAAAGACGTTTCACGCCACTTTAGTTTTTGTCTTTTGATCGACAAAGTTAAAAATCAAATGACACTTTTCCCGCCTATAGTAACGTCTCTTACTCGAGTAACACTTGCTACCAGCTTTACCTCTCCAATAAGTAAAGCAGTCTAGATACGTTGTCAACTATGAAGTAACGACTTGCTAGTTACGAGTGCCTTAGCTAATAACTTGCCTGTTTACTTGCACAAGTTCGACCTCTTGTGGGCAGTTATCAACTTTATTTGTTTAATATAAAGACGAAAATCCAATAATAAATATGATAGCTTGGAGAAGGTAGATGTGTGGGAGAGCCATGCTTCGGCACGAATGGGCCGGCTCGAGTGATACCACGGCCTCACAGAAAACCGACGTGAAGCAACGCTTGCGTTGTGTTTCGTCGTGTGAGTGAGGTTACCGGAGGCCCGGAACCTCACTCACACGACGAAACACAACGGCTTGTGGAATTACCCTCCCCTTCCCCAAGCTCCCCAATTCCTGAATGCCCAACGATCCTCAGACTCTTAATCCCCAAAAGGCCGGTAACGCACTTGTAACGCCTTAATGTTTCGGGTGTCCATGGGCGGCACCGATGGCTTACCATCAGGTGATCCGTCTGTTCGTTTACCGGCTTATGCCATAAAAAAAACATATGCTGGCCATCACATCTATTGACGAAGAAGTTTCATCATGAGGTAAGACGTGTTAAGTTTAAAGGATCTCCTTGTTGCTAGACATTAGTTTCCAAACTTCTAGAATCTTCCATTTTGCTAAAAGGAAATGTGCATCTCTCTCTGCCCTAAGGGAAATGACATTCGTGTTTCGCGTAGTCAATAAACTTCAACATGTTTTAGTTTAAATAACTTTTGGAAGCACACTTGACACTTGCATGTACCTAGCGGTCATGCTTCTTGGTATTACTAAAAACCGTGTTTATATTAATTTATTAATTTAATGCATTCTTAGTAAAAATATTTCAGCAAGACTGTTTGCATCGATTATATTATGATATTGAACAAAAATTTAACAAATTATTATGTTTTCGGCTTATACTCACGTAATTATTTGACGAGAAACTCGACTAGTTTCAAGCCA